AAGAAAACAAATGTCTGTTTGTTAAAGCAATCCACTTGTGGTATTTCAGTTATAGCAACACTAGAGAACTAACACAACAGGTGTTCTGGTACCTAGTGCCACTCTGACAGGAATATACCACAAATGGGGTGGCTTGAACAAGCAGGACTTTATTCTCTTATAGTTTTAGAGGCTAGAAGTCCAAGTTCAAATTGCCAGGCTCTAGGGACTGGGTGAACCCTCAACCTTGGGCTTCAGCTCTGCCTCCTGCTCCCAGCCCACTGAAGCTGGGGACTTTTCTTCACTCTGACAGCTGCTGGCTGCTAAGGCTGACAAACTCAAGGTCGACAAGTAAAAAGGCATAGTCCCAATATTACCATACAACACAGCAGGCCATTGATTCAAGTCCACTGAAAGTCCCAAGATTGGCAGAACATGGCAGGCTGCCGGACAATGATTTGGCTACATGTAGGGTTCAAGCATGCCATAAACTAGAGACCATTCCCACAGCTGTTTCTTATATATGGGAAGCAGACCACACACCCAAAGCAGCTACTCAGCTGCTTGTAGTAGATCCCACTGTCAATCTCATGATAGGGAATAACTACTACAAGCTTCCCAACCACTCAACCAGGCCCAGCCAAGTTGACACACAACTTTAACTACCACAACAGGGATACAAGTTGACCTGATGGCTACCTTTATTTAATGTCTTGTGAAATCTTCATGAACAATACTAGTTGTTAAAAACATATGTTTAATGTAAATGGAAAAACTTTTTGTGAATGGAGTTTTCAACTGATTTCTCTATATCTCTTCATGTAAATTAATCTTTGGAACTGAAAATAGCTGTAAAGAAAACTGAAAATGTTTGGAAACTTGCTCTTCTCTTTTCTTGAAAGCAAATGGGCATTTTTACCACGTTAAAATATCAAGTTTATTATAACAACAAACATACTGCTAATATAACTCCTACTTTTTCCAACTGTGTCCCATTTCCCTCTCCTCCACATGCACAAAAAGTACCAGTTTTTATTTGGGAGAGAGGACCAATCTGAATAAAGGAATGTGCTCCATTTAAACTTTTGCTCTATGCATGTTCTAACTTAAAGAAGCCCCAATGTTCTTGACCCATCAAAAACTGGGTAGCATTAATGGTAAATTTTTAAGAATTTCTTGCTATCTTCTACCTTTGAACCTCTGTTCCTTCTTCTTCACAGGTGTTCAATATTACCTTCCTTTTTCAGCCTTCTCTCTTCTTCTGATTGGTCACCAACTACTTCTACTTTGCTAGCTTTGTGCTGGCAAAAGGGATGCAGTATCTTGCTAATTTCACCCATTGTCTGACACCCGTATCCTTTGCTTGTATCCCCAAAGCTTTTTCCTCATCCTATTTGCTGAAGCAACTTCCTCCTCAGATGATGTGATTGCATTTCTCTTCCTGCAAATCTACTCTTTTCATTTTCTGTTGTTGCTGTAACAAATTGTCACACACTCAGTGGCATAAAACAACAGAAATCTATTATCTATTACCTTGACTTAGGTCAGATGTCTGATTCAGTTCTTACCAGGCTGAAACTGAAATCAAGATGTCTACAAGGCTGCTTTCTGTTCTGAATGTTCTAGGGAGAATCCATTTCCATGACTTTTCCAGCTTCTAGCGGCTTCCTTGGCTTGTGTCCCCTTTCTCCTCTTTCAAAGTGGTAACAGATGGCTGAAGCTTCTCCAACTATATTAGTCTGACCCCATCTTCTTCAACTCTCTTTCACTTACAGGGGCCCTTGTGAGTACAGGGAGCCCACCTGGGTAATTCAGGATCATCTCCCTATCCCAAGAGGAGATGATGAGCAATCTTAATTCTATCTACCGTGATAATTCTTCTTTGCCACACAAGATAGCATATTCATGAGCTTTAGGGACTAGGACAGAGACACCTGTGGTGGGGCCGTCATTCTACCTACCTCAGCTCCTATCCTGAATGATCTTTCAATGTCTGCCTTGAAATCCTCACTCACCCTTTGCCCTCTAATTTCTAAAGGGTATAATTTATAAGAAGAGATCACCCTTCAGAATATGTCCTCAGTACCTTGCAATAAACACCAATCTACCAAATTAAGGAAGGTGTATTTTTTTACATTTTAGCATATCAATTCCTCAAGAGCAATGACATTGATTTCTGTGTGTTCCATTGCACTGAAGTACATCGTACATGCTCAATATTGATGATGGGAGGCAGTGAGTCTTGATTATAAGGCTAAGAAACTAAAATACAAATACAGGTTTGTTGCTTCTTCGGTTATAATGTTTGATTACACTGGGACATATCACTGCTTCTGGACAATTGGCCCAAATATTATCTTCAAATGAAATGGAATAGAGGCCTTTGGGCATTTCTTTGGGGAAAAGAGATCTCTTACACATTTAGGACAACACAATAATGCATCTTCACACACAGCTCTTTATTTGATCTTGCTTATTGATTTCCCCTGACACCCAAACAGGGAGGTGCAATAATCATTTATGGCTAAGGAAAATTAAGTAGACAGAAGACATGGATCTCATTCATTTAATGAAACCTGAGAACACGGGTAATATCTAAAAATTCAGTGGTGGGGGGGTAAAGGGATTTCAAAATACAATGCCAGTAACTAGGAGAAGTAGAAGCCACAGGTGCTGAAAGAAGTCAGGAGAGGAGACACTCTGGGGACAAAAAGGGGCACAGAGCATTCTGATATGATCCTCAGTGAGCTGAGGTCCATCTAGATGGCATATACAGGCCTCAAGTTCCTTGAGCAGCTGGAGGCAGGACGTAGCACAGAGTCCTATGCTCTAAGAGGGGATGAGATATGATAGGCTGAGGCCAGAATATTAGGAAACATTCAGTATCAACAGGCAGGCTAGTCGAAAGAGGAAAGAAACTGTCAAACACAAGAAGTCATCAGGAAAGAAAATGAGGCAGAAATGAGGTGCTGTGCCCTGGATTCCATAGTGTGCAGAGAATGATGCTGGGACCAGGGTGGTTACTTGGAACAAATTTCAGCATCATACTCAGGAAACACAGTGTAAACCTGGTTGCCAGGTCACCTTACAGACTGTAGAATTCCCAGGACCCAAATCTCCCTGACTAGAGATTAGACATTGAGTCAGGGCCCCAAAGATGCAGGAGAGAGAGCTGTGTCTCTACACACCACTGTCACAAAGACTGACCAGTCCCAAAATCAGGTGAAGGAGGTATCACCTTGGAAGAGATCAGCAGGACTTGGGCATTCTAATCAAGAATGATAGGAAGAGGGGTTTCAGATCAAGGACTCAGCCCTGAAGAACAGACCTGAAGCCAGTAGAGGATGGAGGTGAGAAGTGGTGGAAGGAAAATCTCCCCTACTTCCCACCTGTACCCCCACCCCACCAGCCCAGCACCTCCAGATCTGGCTTGGGAGACATTTCCCAGACTGTTGACCTCCAGGGGAAGTGAATGGGGCAAGCTAGGAGGAAAGAAGGCAGAGGCTGCCCCTCAAAGGTTGAGCAGGTATTCTGAGGGGCAGAGGCTCTTCCAGCTCTCGAGGAGACAGGTGAGATCCAGGGATTGCCTGGACCTGGAGAAGGATGCCTCGGTGCTGCTCCTACCCAGGTCTGGGCCTGACCTCCAGGAATGTTCTGCAGATGGCTGGCCAAGCAGTGCTCCCCTGGATCCAAACAACCAACATTAGAAAATGCAGTCTACATACTTGCAGGAGAGGGAGAGAGCTTTACAATCCCAACAGAGTGCCCCGCCTCCCAGGACTGGGATAACCTCCTAATCTCAAGTGACAGGCCTCCCTGCTCAATTGGTACCTGAAAGGCGCAGGCAGGAAGTCTCCCTCCCTACCCACCATGCCCACAGCTATTTTCACAATAGGGGTGTCTTCACCACTTCCAGGCCATTTCCACCCTGAGGAATGGTGAAAATAGCCCACATGCCATTGCAGATTCTGAGATGGACTGGACGCAGAGCAGATGGGGGCTGGACCTTCTCCCCTCTGCTCACACTCTCCCCAAGAGTGTGCATTCTTCGGGGTAGTAGGAGGGCCCATGAGACACAGATACTTCCATGGCCACCCAAGACAATACTGAACCAGTTAATGCTACTGGGTCCTGCGGTGTAGTAAATTACTTAGTGTGGCTTTTCTACCCATAAGTCTTTGTAAACTCCAAGGTGGGAATTGCTATTAGCAACTGAGGAGATCCTGATTTTAAAGTCGCCCACCTGGGTTATTTCTGTTGGGCGTGGCACAATACAATGTTCTGGGAGGTTCCCACTCTCTCTCATGTGCTTAGAGTTCTGATGCTGTGATTGGCTAGTTTGACCACCCTTCCGGGCTCAAAAGGAGGCCTCTTGGGGGCAGAACTCTCTCTCTGATTGCTGGTGGAGGAAGACGTGCTGCTGAAAGAGACACGCACTGCTGGGAAAGAGACGCAAGAGACCTGCATCGCTGAGTGAGACACCGAGGGACCAGCACTGCTGGGAAAGAGACTGTGAGAGACTGTTGGCTGAGGGACGGTGGGCTGGGAGAGAGACTGAGTGTTCTTCCTGAACTTGAGTTGTAGCCTGGTGCTTCCCTAATAAACCCCGTAATCCGTGAGTTGTGTGTGGCCACTGCAGTGAATTATCGAACCCAGGAGAGAGGTGGTGGGTGCTCTGGGAGGAACAGTTGGAGAAAGGACTGGAGGGAGGCAACATGTCTGGCCTGGCAGTAATAGGCCTTGGGTTACTGCTGGTAACCCTGTCTTCCCTTTGTGGAATTAGAGGAGGTCGGAACATGTGGCCTCCTTGCCGTTTTAGCAGGTCCTTATTCCTAAGATGCAAATCTTAGTGCTTTTCTACTAATATCCTATAGTACTGAAGTATGGAAGGAGTCAGAAGGGTGTGAGTGTGTACCCACGCTGCATAGAGAGCTCCCTCCCTCCACCCTATCTTCATCCCCCAACCTACCCTCCCTTATACAACACCTCAATGTACTCTACCATGCACCCCAGTCCTGTCTTCAAAGGCTCTTGGCAGGCCTTGAGGAGTTCAAGTAGATCATGGCATCCACCAGGGCAGTGGGCATGTAGCTCATTGGGAGGTAGAGAAGTTTGGCATCCCAGCCAGCCGAGTATCGGGTACGCGGGTAGCAGGCAGTCAGAGCGTGCTCCAGGCAGTTTGTCACCAAGGACAAATCAAACGAGCATTTCTTCTCCATTTTTTCATAAAATCTTATGTCTGTCCAGAATAAGAAAGGATCCAGATTATAATCTCACCTCCCACCCTCCCACCAGTTTTGGAATAAAAGTGCCTAAGAATTCTATAGCCCCGAAGCCATCCTCTTAACTTACTACAACCATGTTGCCTTGACAAGCCCTTCCCTGCAGCAGTTGTTCCACATTGGGTCTCATCCTAAGAATATCTGGAGGGCATGAATGAAGGTGTCTGCTAACACTAGGAACGTAAGTGTGTGGAAACCAGCTGTCTCTAACACCAGCTTACTATGAGTCCATGAGTGTCTTCCCTCTCTGGTTTCAGTTTCCTCCTTATGGTGGTTAACTTTGTGTGGCAGCTTGGCTGGGCCTGGTTGAGTGGCTGGGCAACTGAATGTAGTTATTCCCCATGGTGAGATTGGTAATTAACTCCATGGTGGAATCTACTGGAGCAGCTGAATAGCTGCTTTGGGTATATGGTCTGCTTCCCGTATATGGTCTGCTTCCCGTATAGAAGAAACAGCCTTTGGGAATGACCTCTGGTATATGGCATGCTTAACCCTACACGTAGCTGTGTCGTTGTTCAGCAGCCTGCCATGCTCAGCCGATCCTGGGATTTTCAATGGACATCAATGGCCTGCTGTGTGATTTAAGATCAGGACTATGCCATTTTATTTGTTGACTTTGGGCTTGTTAGCCTCAGCAGCCAGTAGTTCCCTGAGTGAAGAGATGCCTCTGGCTTCAGTGGGCCAGCAGCAAGAGGCAGAGCTGAAGCCCAAGGTCGAGGGGCTTTCAAACAGCCCTAGAGCCTGACACTGTGAACTCGGACTTCCAGCCTCCCGAACTGTAAGAGAATAAATTCCTGTTTGTTCAAGCCATTCCATTTGTGATATATATTCTTGTCAGAGTGGCACTAGGTAACCAGAACACTCCTCAAACTAATGACAGGGTAAAGAGAACTGATTCCAGGGCAAGTAAGTTTGGGCCCTTTCTGTGGGTTACCCCACAGACCACAGAGGGGATGGAAATGGGGCCGAATGTCTTCACTCTGCTGTAGAGGCACAGACTGGAAGACAGACCATGAGACACAAGAATCAAGCGGTGGACCCAGGCCTTCCACACAAGGGTTTGCTTCTCTTTCTACTGTCCACAGCCCACTCACAAGAAGCCAGGAACTCCTCTCCATAGATCTCCTTGAGCTCCGGGCTGGCCCGGTCCCACACCTTCCGTAAGGTCCTTAAAAATGTCTCTTTGCTGGTGATCCCAGTCTTGAAGTAACCAGGCTCGATCACAGCCACCTTCACCCCAAAGAAGGAGAGCTCTCTCCTGCAAGGTAGACAATGACAGGGCAAAGGGCTTCAGAGGCCTTGGGAGAAAAAACAAACAACTATGCCAGACTGGGGTGGAATAGGCTGGAAACCTGAGGAGCTGTGAAGAGCAGCCAGCAGTGGGAGAATAATAATGACTATGGCATTGCCTCTGTATAGAGTTTAAACAATTTTTAAAATAGTTGTATATTATGAGCCCATTAACTCCAAATTCTACCTATCCTGGAGCAAAGCACTGATGAAATGTTATCTCTTCCTTTTCCCCTACATCCAATCATCACTATGCCTTGTCACTTTATCTCTTACATATACTTTGTCCCTGTCCTGCCTTCTCCTGACCTAGTAATTCCACAGTAGTTTCTCAGTGGAGCTCCTGAACTAGGCTTCTAAGGTTAGTTGTGGCTCCCACAATCAGAACCATCCTCAGCATTACAGCCATAGGGGTCTCCAGGAGTTAATTCGACCGAGTAGCTCCCCTGATTAACTCCCTTCCATGGACTTCCACTGCCAACAGCACAAAGTGCTAGTGGCTTTCCAGGGCCCAAAGACCTCTCCAAGGCCACCTTGCCAAGTCCCCAGCTACTTGGCCAGGCCTGGCCTTGTCCTTTGTCCCTAGTGGGCCTACAGCGCAGGCAGCATTCTCACCCTCAGACTGGCCTCTGCTGCTAGGAGGCCTTCCAGAATCCCTTCTTTGAGCAACTGCTAGGTGGACTCTTGGTCCTTTCTTAGCTCAGACCCAGCATTAGGATCTTCCCCTCAAATGGGGATTCTAGGGTTAATGGTCCCAAGGATTACAAGAGAAGACAAAATGTTTTACAATTTCTTTTCCTTCTATCAGCTGTGAGAGTCTGTAGATCAGGGCCCAAATCTTATTGCCCTAAGACACACTGGGCACTCTTACAAGTGCCCAATAAATATGTGATGAATGGAGTCAAACAGGAGCCCCACCTCCATCGTTCCCTGAAGGTGGGTATCACAGTAGATATGTGTGTGCACTCAGGAACAAAATTATTCATGTTCCAATTCTACCACAGATAGTTCCCAGCCGTGGACCTTATTCCAGGGCAGGGCTATGTTTCACTAAACTCCTTGGGCCTGGGCCCCTTTCCACTCAGAACTTTCAAAAGTTGTTACCTGTGAATAGCTGCCCAATTCAGAAAGGAGGG